TGCACAGAAATGCAGCTCTGTTAAGATAAAATAATAAAAATAAAATAAAAATAATAAACTAAAGAAGGTAAAGAATGCACAAAAATTATTTTAAATGTTTGTTCTGCCTGCGCCAGAAAGATTACCTTTTTAGACTTTTGGTAGCTGTGGAAAAAATGACTCCAACAGGAGCGTCCAGTAAGTTCCATTAACTAAATGTCATTGTTAAAGTTCTTTAGGTTGAACAGTCATACAAAGTCAAATTGTATTACATGTAAGGCAGTATAGAACAAAGTAAATTCATGTTTCGGGTGAATTGAATAACTGTGTGTAGCTAATTTTAGTGATAAGATTTGTCCAGCTTGCAGTTTCTGTGTAACTGTCACTGCAATTGTTCTTCTTGTGTAACTTTCTTACCACCTCCATACACTCGTATTTTATATAAAGCTAAATTTGAGTGACGCTATTATTACTGTTATTTTATTCATATTGTGATAATATTAGTGCATCCTTTTTTGTTTTGAGGTCCAAAATAACATTGGATATTGCAACAGCCCTAAAAGAATGACCCACAATGTGACAGTCAAAGGAAGTAAGAATAAGCTATGACAGAACCGACTACACATTTTGTTTGTCAATCCTTTCTGAGTAATGTAAATTCCAGTCTTATAGATAAAAATGTACAGTAATGGCTAAGCTAAGGACTACTCAAGCAGTATCTGCTACTCACACTGGCTGGCTCATCTCCAAACTTTAAATTTGACAGTTTTTACGTGGGCGTGATGGGCACTGTGGGATGCCAGACTGAGGGGACAATAAGGAAGATGAATTAGTAGCTAGTAGAGGTCTACTTCCCCTGCCTACCCAGCTGCTTGTGCCTCTTTACCCACAGTCATCAATCTTTGTCAGCTATCATCCAGGAAGTCATTATGCAAGCCGGGGCAATCGGGGAATCAAGTTTGCCTTCGTTTTGTTCGCCCCCGCTTTTAACCGTCCCCAATTCACTTAACACACTTTGTGGCAGTGGGGACAGAAGTACATTTCTACTCTGTGATTACGGAAGGGAGGCCCTTTAAAGATAGCTAGCGAGCCCCCATAGGGCTGAGCTTAATGTGGGCACTGGGTAGCAGGTGGAAAGAGCCGCTGCCAGTTTCCCTTGCAGTGTGAGGAAATTGCTTGTACTGCTGTGAAACTGCTGAGATCTGGACAGCGGCCACATTTGGGCTGGAGGCATGCTGTTTTAAGCTTTTAATACCACACTGCTCTCGACTAGATAGAAGAGTGCCCTGAAGCTACTGAGTCCTTTTTGCTTTTTTGGACAGCTAGTGAGTGGATCAGACAAAGAATACATATTGTCTCCACTGGGTATATATATTTTTTCCTTATATTTGAAACTTGTGTTATGTGTCTTTTTTGTTTCTTTTTCAAAAGTGCTGCCATTCAGTTTACATGGCCACATATAGTCACTGACACTGAATAATTGAAGTCTCAGCTATTGATGTAGTTTTTAATATTGTGTGTGTTTGTGCAGGGTAAGTTCTACCTGCTGATCGAGGAGCTGAGCCAGCTGTTTCGAGCCCTCGTTCCCATCCAGTTGTGGTACAAGTACATCATGGGAGAAGACCCCTCAAACAGTTACTTCCTGGGAGCTACACTCATCATCATCTACAGCCTCTGCAAGGTTTCAGCACCTGAGGGCAAAATTGTTTTAGTCCTTTTTTTTTAGGTTTTGCATGGAAGGTTTCCACTAAAGACTTACTTTTAGACTTCTGGTAGAATTTTAGTGGTGCACCTTTGCAAAAAAATCATCAAAATCCAGTCATTATTTTCAGTCATGTATTGGTATCATGGAAATTTTGGCATGAGGGGGAATCCAGATGAGGGGTCATTTAAAATTATCAGACTTTTCCTCAACCATTCTTTTCTCCCCAATAATTGTAAGTCATTAGTACCATTTAGTCTGCTGTTCTCAGTATGGACAGGTAATGCCTCTGCAAATTTCTGTAAAACTGGTGGAAAACAAAAAAAAAAACAAAAAACCCCAGCATTGTCACATTTGACGTGTTTTTAAGCAACATTAGTTTCAGAGTAAGAATGCACCTCAGCTCATGGACCCGTGACAGGGGAAGAAAGAAGGCAGAAAACTTAGTCAATGGTCACAGGAAGGTCAGCCTTTAAAAAGACTTCAAAACTCAGAAAATAGACTTTCTTGGGCAATGACTCACTAAAAGTTGGACACGACATTCTGTGGGAGAACAGAAATAGTGAAAATTAATGGAACATGAATGAGCAAGTCTATGGATGATGCAAAGATTATTTACACTCTGAGACTATTCTTTCTACAATGTGTGGTTACAATTATTGACCTGCTTTCTTTAAATATAACAGTGATTCAGATGTTGTAGTTCTTAAATATGGGGGTGTTCGACTGAGTTATGTGGGTAATCTCCTGGATGTGCGTACTCCATGTACAAGTTGCAGCACACAGGTGTTTTCCAGAATCAGGCAAAGCAAGGCTTGCTTTAGTATAACAGCATGCTGATATGAATGCTTCTTTGAGTCATTGTCGTCATAACGGTGTTGAATGACTTGGCAACAGTTGAATGAACTTCAAAGAAACGAGCTTACACCAGAAGGCTGTAGGTGGAGGAAGTTATCAAAGGTCTAGTTTGTGTGTAACTGAAACAATTTGGACTTTTGATCAATTTGTAATGGCTTTATTTCATATAAAGACAGTGAGATAAGAATTAAGTTAGTGAGGTGTGCCCCTAAAAGAAATCCATTTTTGTTGTTTTAGAGTTGAAATGAACAGTTATGTAAAATAGATTTTTGTTTCTTTGTTTTCATTTCAAAGCAGCAGTGTGCCCAAAATATGGACTTGTGAATCTGTTTGCATGTCTGTAAACTAAGTCCTTTCTAATTTTGGATGAAATGGGGGAATCCTGAGGGATGCTGTAATTCCATATTTTTTTTTATTTTTTAAATAATTGTGCTTTGTCTTGATCTTGATGGATTTGCAGTCCTTTGACATCTGCGGACGTATATCTGCAATACACAAGGCCTTGGTCATGCTCTGCAGCTCCCAGGTCAGTCGTGGGTTTTGTTTTTTGTTTTTTTAAGAATTTATAAAAAAATCTAAATGAGTATCCAGAAGATTTCACTCCTTTGTGTGTTTGTGCATATGTCATCCAGAGTTATGGAGTGAGAGCTGGCAGTCAGCAGTGCAGCGAGGCAGGTGATGTCTGTGCTATTTGTCAGGCTGATTTTAGAGACCCCATTGCACTTCTCTGTCAGGTAAGGGTTCATTAACTGGTAACAAAATGGTAAAAAAAAATAATCTAAATTTTGCAAATTATTTGGCTCATTTAAAGTCAAAATTGTTGTCACTGAATGTCACTATATACTGACTGTTATTTGGGTGTGGTTAAAAGTTAATATGACCTACTTTTGTTGCTCTGTTATCATCTGTAAATAACAATTATGTTATAGACTTCTATAAAAGATGGACATAGTTTCTGGGTCTGAAACCAAACCTGCATTCTTTCTAATGGCCAGCAGAGGGTGGCTCTGTGGTCACAAACAGCTTTTAGATTCCTTGATCCTCTAATAAGGGCTCAGTCACTAGGTTCAGTGACTGATGTTAATTTTTGAAATTACAGCCCCCTTTATCCAAAAGAGCAATAATGCAGGACAAGCCTAACATGTGATTATTGCTTTTGTTGTTTCCATGGTTATGTCACATGGTTTCACAGTCAGATGTTCCCTGCAGTTGTGACATCTGGTTTCGGAAGTGCTTATATGGAGGGTCAAGTATGCTCAATGTTTCACAACGAGGCTTCATTAACCCGTGATGATTTCATGGTGACTATGTCCATTTTTTTTTTAGATGCAGTTTTCACAAGAGTAGCTTGAGTGACAAATTTACTTATTTATTGGTATTTTTAGCAAGATATCCTAGCTATGTATGTGTCACACTTCTGCCATCAAATAAATGAAGATTTTGTTATTCTGCAGCACGTGTTCTGCGAGGAATGCCTGTGTTTGTGGTTCGATCGTGAGAGAACGTGTCCACTGTGTCGGTCTACTGTCATTGAGACCCTGAGATGCTGGAAGGATGGCACCACCTCAGCTCACTTCCAAATTTACTAAGTTCTAATAATATATCATGAGCATCCAGAGATATGTGATTGTACTCTGAAGCCAGGTAAACAGTGATGTTTCTGTAAATGTCTTATATAAATCAAGCAAGGAATAATTGGGGTAATACATGATATATTGGGGACATTAAATTTATAGGCATTTGAGAAGGCCATAATCGAATATATTTAAAAACAATCATCTCCTATAAAGCTGGTGATTGAGGCCACATGTTTAAAGAAATGATCAATGTGGTAAAGGAACATAAACTTGAGCTCAATTTCAATGGTTCGCTACTGTTGTAATCTATAGGTAACTTTTTATTTGACTTTTTTTAATATAAGAGTTTGTTTTAAGTGCGGTTATAATGTAAAACGTGACTGAATATACACTCTGAGTTGTCTTTACAATTTCATCACATGTATTGATTTAGTTCTACAAATGACTTTATTTGAAAATGAAATGTCTCAGAATGATTCTTAATGGAAAATCAGTTTGTACTCTTTAGGTAGAAGATGTTGTGGTTGGTAAAACATAAGCATATTTAGATACTGAATAAGGAACAAGGTGGTGTGTGCCGTTTAAGTAGCCTGACCATAAACGGTGCATTGTAAAAGTGTTGATATGTAGTACATACATTGTCACTGACATCAGAGGCACATATCTGATAATCGTCCACACTGTAAATTGTCTTCCATTGTTATTCCTCATTTATGTTGTTACTGTGTATTTTATTTAGAATAATTTTCCTCGGGCTGCTTAATAGACTCTAGGACTATATGGAAAATGCGCAGTCAAGCACTGAGATCATTGGTTTTGAAATAAAGCACTTAAGCTCAAATATCAGGTGTATTTCTTGTCTAAATGCAATGACACAAAGAATATATCTCAGTAAACGTTTTTTTATTATCAGGACTGCTAAAAATTCATATGAAATGTTTTAAAAGTATAAAGACCATACACTTTATAAAAGACCGTTTCAGGAATTTTACCCACATTACATTAAATATACTAGGGGGAAAAAAGCTTTTTTCTTTTTTGCAGAAATCACAGACAGCATAACAGCATAGCTTCCTAGGAGTTTTCTTTATAATAACAAGCCACATAACACTCCCCCCAACAGATTAAAAAAAAAAAGCAGAGTAATGTGTAAACATCATCTAAACACTGTAGAAAACACCTGTAAAAACCACTCTCATTATTTACATGCTTACACTTATAGCTTATGTTTAAAAAAAGAAAAGGTACAGTGCATTATGAAGCTTGGAAACATTTCAGTGCATTATTAAGGATTGCTGCACTAATTGTAGCCTAGATACAGAAGGTCTAATGAGTTTAACCCCAGTTTTCACTGATGCACTCGCATTGGAGGTGAAAATTTTAAAGGCGTACTATTAGTAAGCTTTTCCCTCCACTCTACCAGGGGAAGATTACATCACCGGCTTGTAGATGGGATGACAGAATTGGAGAGTCACGTAGGGGTAGATATAGCCGCTGACTGACTGCAGGGCTGCTGGTGTCGTCTCAGCTCGGTATAGTGCATCCATATCCGACCTGAGTTAGTCTTCATGCCACATGCAGAATAGTCAGAAACGCAGTTCCGTTCCTGAAACACAAATTTAACCCGCTTCCTCGTTTGTCGCTTTTCCACTCGCTGTGCACACTTCTTCCTGCACCGCGTCCTCCGACTCTCCTCCATCCTTTGCTTTAAGTGCAAATGATGAGAGCCCGTTGCTTTCCCTCATGCATAATCTTAAAGGCACCGTCTATGATGAGATAGAGATACACGCACTTTATTGAGACGCATTATAAGAAACGTGAAACCTACAGTAGAGCTATAATTTCTATTTAGCACCGTCTGAAAATGAAATGTAGAGAATGCCATCAGTTCTATCCTAATATTTATTTCATCTCGTTTTCTGTAGAAGTGCGACTCTTAATAATTACCTAATACTTAAAACATTTTTATCGCCAAATTTATTTATCCAGTTTTTATGGTCCCTTGATGAAAGTTGTTGTGCAAATATTGAGAGGTTAAATGTATTTTTATATCTTAAAATGGATTATTTCATTTGGGAAAGGCCAAAAAAGTTGATGGAAGTAGTAAAGAAAATGTTTTCCTGGCCTGCGTCAAAAAAAGCATTTTTGTATTTATTTAGTGTGTGTGTGTGTTTCAATTTGACAAATATGCCTAAATGAATTTTCATCCAAATCTGAGATAGGCTTAGTGGCTTCGCGCTCGAACAGGTGACGTGACTCTGTTTACTCACCTGTTGCTGGTGAGGCAGCCTCGCGCCCTACAGGTGTCGCCTCGCGACGAACAGCACGAGCACGGTGAAGTGCAGCGCAACGCACAAGAAGCCCTCCTTCAGGTGACCCCGTCCGCTTACCACCACCGTCCCTCTGTCCCCGCAGCTGTAGCCGACGTCCGCCCGCTCGGTCGCCCAGCTTTTCTCCAGCTTATCCCCGATCCTCCGTAGGCGCGACGCGAGCAGTTGAGCCACGGAGCACGGCGAGGGTCGACGGGAGCTGCAGGTTGAGTCACCTGGAAGCAGCAGAGGATGGTCTATCGGCAGCCAGCACATCTCGTCTTCGCGGCAAAACGCACGGTCTACTCAGTTTAAGTCTTGAGGATACAGGACCCTCCTTCTCTTTTTCTCAGCAAACCTTTACAGTGTTTGCGTCCCCCCCTTTCTCCCCCACCTCTCTCACTACTGTATTATTCATTACAGTGTCACATGGTGTGGGGTTTACATCATCTTTTCCCAAAAGAGCGATGCAATGATTAACTCTTGGATCGCTCCTGTTTGGTTTTATCTTGGGGAGTTTTCTGCATTAGCACGCTTAAATTCTTTTAAAGTTCTAATAAAAATTGCACTTTTTCTAAAATGTGATCATCCTGTACACATAACTATGTAATACGAAATAATAAATTTTGTATAAAAACAAATTGCCAAAACATTGCCCACAAATACAATATATCTCCCCCTGCAATCGACGCGTCTATAATAAAAATGCGGAATTAAAAGTTGGCGGAACTTTTGCACATTTGCTCGCTTTCCCTCTTCGGACTATTTATACAGGAGGACGTGCTTGTTTTTTGTCGGTGTCGTTCTGTTTCTATTCTTAACTCGTCTGTAAAACTACAAAATTTTACTTTGTAATGTTGAAAAAAAGTTAGATTTTCAGCGATGACAGAAGAATATGGCAGAGAACGATCTTGCTGCGTTCAGGGAGCGTTGGAAACGAGAGTTATCGAGTAAAAAGGGGGAGCAACGACTGGTTTGTGCGCCTTCCTCTTCCCGGGATATTGATGATCAGTTAGGCCAGAGAGACTTAAAAAATCTTAACAAGGCCGGTAGTCATTCAAAGCCAGAAGAAGGTGGTTGCACTGAGCATGTTCGTGTAGGGGGAAAACCTGCTGCTCTTGCTGCTGCCGCAGAGACAGAGGATCAGCCTCAGTATGTGTCCATTGCAAGTAGTTTGCTGGATGGAAGGACCAGCCCTTTGTTGGACAGAATTGAGGAGGAGAGGAGCAGGAGAAAGAGGCAATATCATAACATGACTAATGTCTGCAGCTCATCCTTGCAGCAGCAGCCTCAGGGAAAGGTCAAGAAAGAAGAAGAGCTGGTAGACCAACTCATTCAGGATCTGGTATGAGAGCGATAATGCACACCGTCAGATGGTACTTGACCACAGTCAGCTGGGTATATAATGTGTGTTTAATGATCTGTTTTGCAGAATGAAGTCAATGACATTCCCTTCTTTGATATTGAGTTGCCGTATGAGATAGCTTTGAAGATATTCCAATATCTCAACTGTGCAGAACTAGGCCGATGTGCCCAGGTAAGCAGTCTGAGTAAGAGGCTGGACAAACGTCACCTCAGGGGTGCAGGTCAGTGTTTTCATCCACCAGCTCCAGAATGAATCTTAGAGGTTAATCAGGTTTTTCACAAGACGACGTTGCAAGGCCTTGTATTCACTGATGGAAAACCCTGGTTCTGTAGTTTTCAGCCAACAGAAGGGATTCATTTGATGAAAAAAGTGTTTACATAAATAGGACATTGTTTTGGCAGTCACTTCAAAATAAAATAAATTGTCCAATTAATGGGACAGGAATGGACATATGCTTATCTGGTTACTCGTGAGTATTCTTCGCTATTTTCTTGTGAAAATAGAGCTCTAAAATGTGTTTAAATGGGCAACAGAGAAATAAATCATTATGTTATTGAACTACTTGGTGACTTAAGTCTTGCTTAAGTGAGCGAGTGGATAACATCAAGGGGTTATTGCAAGTATCTATCTTTCACATTCTAAAAAGGGTTTTTGAACCTCTACTTTAGAAGAACAGTTGCACACTGACAAGCGTTACAATCTAGGAGGGATTCAAATTAAAACAACTCTGAGGCTAAAACAAATTATTTTGTTGCACAGGGACCAGAAATCTTCATGGCCAAAACCGCACCCCAGCTATACAATAGCGATGTGTTGTGATTTAAAAAGTTAAGTTCTTCATTTGTAGCAACACATACTGAATTGCTTAGGGCAGCTTTATTTGCCTTTCACGACTTAATTTGGTACAGATTAATAAATTACATTTTGTGTGCCAGACCCGCATGTGACGAGTCCATTTGGCAGTCAGCCGAGCTTGTTAAATAGAAATAAGTGATGCAAGCTCTTAATGTATGCTGACTCAATCCACAGTTACACGGTTTAATCTTCTCTCAGGTGAGCAGGGCATGGAGAGTCCTTGCAGAGGACTCTGTTCTGTGGTTCAAGTTGTGCGTGAGGGATGGTTACCATCAGAATGCCAGCATGTCTGACTCGCCCTGCTGGAAGAGTATGCTGCGAGACTGCAGGAACTCTTCTAAAACGGTGCGCTTCAACTGGAAGGTGAGCTTGAACTACTTTACTGTGGCAAAACAGATGCTTCCATCCAGCAGCTGTGCAAAATTGAAGAATAAGTCAAAAGACAGTCTTTGAATGACCTACAGATTCACAAAGATTTCATTTTCACTGCATTTCCTCACTGGACTTTGCACAACTGGAAAAGCTGGTGACAAGTTGACCTAGATAACTGCCTTTCCTACTTACTATTCAAAACTGGGGCCCATTAAAATGTGGGACATTATGTCAATTTGTGATACTGGGACAGAGGATGAAAATCCTGTGCTGTCATACATAAACTGGGACATCGACTTACCCTAATTGTATCGGTAAAACTAACAGACAGACATGCACTCAACCTTGCACCTACCTTCAAAATATGTGTGAGGTAGCCAGAGAAAAACCCGCACAGGCAGAAGAACATGGACACTATACAGCAAGGCCCTTACAAGCTTTCTTTTGTAAAGCATCACTGCTTCACTTCATTGGGAAATACTAATTGTTACTGTATTTCTCAGACTGATATTAGTGCAGAACTGACAGTAGACCAGCTGCGCGTCTCTCATCTAATAAAATATATCAGTTTTCAGCCAGCCTATAATTTTCACCTAGAATCGAGTGGGATCCATCAGCCAGCTGCAGTTCGAGTTGGGGAAGGTGCTCTGTGACGTCAGCTCCTATGACAACTTCGTCTTAGCTGGGTGAGTATCAAGGATGCATGTAGGACGCTTCTGACAGCCGATTAATAACGATGTTAACTGTAACGTTGACTCCTCATATACTCAATTCTGCTTCTGTCTCTTTTTCTTGTCAGGTGTCTTGGTGTAAATTAATCTTGATCATAACCTTTCTGATTCTTTACTGGGTGTTTAATTAAACATGTATGACTATATGTCTTATTGCAGTGGTTACTGACAGTCCAACACATTTGGTTTTCCCTTCTTAGGGGGATAATTCATTTAAAGTCAATTGAAGAATCAAGTGAAGCAGTTAGAAATGTACTTGCAGTAACACTTAAGTGACTTCAATTTCATCGGATGAGACAGGCGGTGAATTTAAGACTATAAGCTGGTAATAATTTTCTGGTCAAAGATTTGGAACATGTGATAGTTAACAGTGTAAATAAATGATTTTCTAACATTGTTACCAAAAATTAACATGTAAGTCAGTACTTATCAAATATCGTTTATTGTTCCATTTTTACAGTTGAGATCAGTTTTTCACTTTGCTGACATTCACCACCACCACCACCCCAAATTTTGAGAAGCTTCAGAGAAAGAGGGTGGAGTTGAAGTGGTGCAAAAGATTTTGAGACTAAAGAATGTGCACAGACGGATGCCTTAAGTATCCAAATGTATTGCCACATTCAGTCGCATGCCATTGGCCCACATGAGTGTGATGTCCACAATTATCATTCGTATAGCTCACAGCACTGACATTTACAAAAAAGCCTTAAAGCCTCCCATGGGGTTAGTTGCCAGGGGGGCTAAACTGTTAGTGGACGTTCTATGTGCCATCTTCTAATTCCTTTTCCATTTCCATTTCTTTTGAAAACTTGCAAAGTGACTCTGGAAATTTTAGCAATCAAGTCTGTTGTCACATTTTGACACTGTTGAATGTCTTTCTAGAGAAACCCACAGGTGCAGGTGGTTTTATGTACTTTGTCTGTTAACAGATTTTGCTGTTAGGAAACCATCACATCAAGACGCAGTCACCAAACTACACACACATGTGGTTAAGATGAAAATAAAGGCCAAGTTAAAAGAGACATGATAATGTACTGAGTACTCTGGAATTTAGTGACTGGTGTGATTCAGTCAAAACGAGTGTCTTTATGGTCCTATGGTGAGGGAAGGGTTAAATAAATTGCAGTTTAAATAAACTGCAACTGCTTTGAACTAGTTGGCTGAGACAGTGATTGATTGTGAGTGGCCAAAGGGACCCAATAAGGCCTCAGAAATTTGGAGCATCTCTTTAGAGTGATGTGATTAGAGTCCCCTCAGTCCTGCTGTGTCCCACTGATAAAAAGCACACGTAAGACACATAAGACAACGAAAATTGCATTTATGAAATAAGGCACCTTGCACAATGTTAACATGCTGTTAAATTGTTCTTTTTCTTACTACTGCTATTAACAAATTAACAATATCAATACTTTTCCCATTATATTAAAAGTTAATTCAACTAAGGTAATTCAACTACTTGAATTTGTTTATCTAGAAAGGAATCAATGACCGTTAAGAGTAATCAGAAGTGATTCAATTGTCTCCACTAAATCTTATTAGAAAACCAGTGAAATGAGATTTGGCACTTAAAAAGCAACATAAGATGCTGTCTCGTTAACCCAACAGTTCTTAAAGTCACACAGTAACATAGAAGCCGGATCTCCCGAGGCTTGCGTGAAGATTGCAGTAATCAGTGCACAAGTCTTCCTGTACAAAGTTTTTGACGAGTTCCTTGGATATGATTCAACATCATCTTCCTCCTGTTGATAGCTGGCATTGTGCTGACGTACCAATTAAGTCAAAGTGTGTGTCCCAATTGTCTACTTTCTGCCAAACCCCGCTAACAAAGTCATGCATGCAAATAACGGGTGCTCACATGAACACCCTGTGTCACACTTGCTGTGACTGCATGACACACTGCGACTGCACACTTGTTCAGACATGGTGGTATCCGCGGAGGTGGGAACTTTGTCAGTTTGCTGTCTCCTGTAGAGAGAGCTCATTGGCTTAGGCGAAAAAAGAAAAAAAAAACAGGAAAGAGGAGGGTTTGAGAGTTTTAGGTGTGATGGGATATAGTTAGGGCTTTTCCACTAACTTGGAGTCTGGTGAAATGACATGACATGAACAGAAGGTCATGTTCCAATCTGTTGAAGAAATTGTGCTGCTAGAAATGTTATTTTTGAGTGAGCTGCATGAGGTATTTTATGATCAATTAATCATCCTTGCAAATAAATTCACTTTTGTGTAACTAATGTTAACTTAATCCCTGAGGTCT